ATATATATATATATATATATATATATATATATTTCTTTATATATATATATATAGGAAAATCAAGATGCCTTAATTTTATGAATAATCCTTTCATTAAATAATAATTTATTAAATTTTTGCAAAAAATAATCCTAAAAATAACAATAATACATAGAAGTATGTATTTACGGTATTACCTCATCGCCTAGGTATCCAATATCATCCCTAATATTCATAACATCGGCATTCATCCAAATCTTCAGATGCCCAATCAATATAATCTTCAGAGGCCCACCCAAAGCTATACTCATTTAACCTGGACTCATCATAACATTCCCCACAGTAAATACATCTTCCTTATTTTTATTTTCATTATCAAATAAAAAAAAAAAAACAATCGAGCAATAATGGAATCATCCAACTCTCCAAAATTAGATATCCAATTTGATCCTGTCTAGTGTTGCCCTATATGTAATTTTATAAAGTATAAATTTTTGAAAATATCATTTAAATATTCATATTTTGATATACAAATAAGATATCCTATAATAAGATATGTTACAAATAAGGTATCCTATAATAAGATATGTCACAAATAAGATATTCTATAAGATATCTTATATAAATATTATATTAACTATAAATATTATAATAACATAAAATTATATTAAATAATATTAATAGTTATAAAATTTATAATTAGTCGAAAATTAGATACGATACTCATAAAGTATCATAGAAAGTGTCATCCAGAACATAACACATACATCGCTATCATCTTTTGTTTATGCATTAATTTAACGATGTATAGCTGTATGCCGCGTGAAAATTTTAAATTGTTTTGCAAATAATAATAGATCCCGATTTTATCCATCTGATTTATTCCATTATCCTAAGCGAACTCTGATTTGATTTAAAGTTTGAAAGTATTTAAATTCTTATTCGTCTTTAATAGGATATCACTTAATTACAAAACTGTAACTAAAAAGAATGTATAATAATTTGATTCCATTATAAATTGCAATATAAGTCATTAGATTAATTCAGTTTATTTATTATTCGGAATCTATGAAACTAATTATTATTTTCCAGATTCTGGCAATGGATGGCCAATTCCTTCTGTGTTTCGGTGAGAAAGGCAGCCGTTATGGTCAATTTAATTATCCGTGGGATGTAGCAGCGAACTCCGAATGCCAGATAGTTGTGTCTGATACTAGAAATCATCGCGTCCAGTTATTCAGTCCTGAAGGTATTTTTCTCCGAAAGTTTGGCTTCGAATCAGCACCAAACATGTGGAAGCACTTCGACTCACCGCGCGGAGTAGCTTTTGACCCTGAAGGAAATATTGTTACTACAGATTTTAACAATCACAGGCTGGTTATCATTGATGCTGATTTTATGCAATCCCGAATTTTTGAATGCGAAAGTACAGCTAGTTCTAAACAATTTTTAAGGCCGCAAGGTCTGGTAATCGACGACGATGGCAATATTATTGTAGCTGATTCTAGAAATCATAGAATACAAATATTTGATTCGGATGGAATGTTAAAATGGCGATTTGGTAATTACGGTAAAGCTGAAGACGAAATGGATAGACCATCGGGGATAGCTTTATGCCCTGATGGTAGAATAGTTATTGTAGACTTTGGTAATAATAGAGTTCTTCTTATTTAAACAATCGGCCGATCGACTTTATTAAGCGAAAAAGGACGAGTGCTAATAAACGTAAGATTTAATCTGAAAACCCAAAACTATGGATTTTCATTATTGTATACAGTATGAAAATCCGTAGTTTTGGCTTCTTTTACTTTTATTTTGCATTTTTTAATTTTTTAAGATATAAATTTATAATCCTATTGATTGTCTTTATAGAAATATTTCATTTTAAGTGCCAAGTACAAAAAAAAAAAGAGAAAAGAATTATTCCTATCTACAACGATATGACTTAAAAATGAAAATTTCATTTATTTATAAATATAATTTTTTTCACAAGTTTATTTATTTCTTTCCTTTTCCTCTTTTATTACTACATAAATCAAAGAAAGAAAAATCAAAGCATCGAATAAAATATTATTCGGATATTACATATAATCAATAGAAAAATAGTGTTTTTAATTCTCCTTAGTTTTTAAGATCAACAAATGATCAAATGTTGATGTAATATTTTCTTACTGATTGTACAAATACTGTTTCACTTTATTTTCTCACTTGCCAAGCAACTGAAGAAAAAAGTAAATTAACTTTCTATTTTGATCGTATCATCGTATAGTCATATAGTCATGGATGGGAATATTTTTCCTGTAAAAGTAATCACTACTGATACTTTACAAGAAATGTTCAACTTCAAGAAAAGTATTGAATATTTTGCATACTATTAGGCAACATAATAGTATGCAAAATATTCAATACTTTCAAAGAATGTTACATTTCTTTTACCATTGCAAAATACAATTGTAGTTATAACTTTGTAATGGTGCAACTTTGCAATAGTAAAAGAAATTCCATTCTTTAATAGTATTGAATTTGACAAAACTTCATGAGTGTACACTTGACGGGTGTAAATTTTAAACTTCAAGTTTTGTAAACTGTAGTTTTTAACTGTACACTCATTCTAGTATATTGTAAAAAACGAGAGTTTCATTAGATTCAAATTTTATCATGTAAATAATTATTGCATACTATTTATTATTTATAAAGAAATTCGTATATATATGAAAAATAGTTGCTATTTTTAATAGAAATGTAATCGTCTTCGCTATTCTACATGTTTCTTCAGGAAGACTAAAAATTTGTTCTGTATTACTTTATTTTGAAAGGAACAAACTACGGAACGAAATTTTGAAGAGCAGCTTATTTTACATGAAATTCTTTTTACAACTTAACACAATTTTTTGTTTTTTATATTAAAAAAAAATATTTCGTTATGTGATTGGATAATGTATTGTATTGTTTATTGTTTAGACATTATCCAATCACATAATGAGATATTTTTTTTTAATATAAAAAACAAAAAATTGTGTTAAGTTGTAAAAAGAATTTCATGTAAAATAAGCTGCTCTTCAAAATTTCGTTCCGTAGTTTGTTCCTTTCAAAATAAAGTAATACAGAACAAATTTTTAGTCTTCCTCTATGGAAGCGCGACATTTCTATTAAAAATATCAACTATTTTTCACATATACACGAACCTTTCTTTATAAATAATAAACAGTATATAATAATTTAATGATGAAATCTAATGAAAAGAATTTGTAAATATAAAATTCTCGTTATAATGTACTAGAATGAGTGTAATTAAAATCGCATTTAAAAATCGCAAAAATTGAAGAAGTTTATATCGATTAAGTGACTTTTGAAGTATAAACATATATATAAATGATTAAATGATAAAATGAGAATCTATTGAACAGACTAATACAATTTTATTAAAAAAAAAAAAAAAACTTCAATCAAACTGTGTTAATCTCAGAAATGGTTTCTCATTTAATTATGTATGCAACTAGCAATGAGACTGACATGGATAAGTTGTAGAAATGTTCGGATTATTATTTTTCATTAATTTTTTTTTTGCATATTATAATATTATAGTAACTTATCCCTGTCAGTGTCATAAAATAAATATAAAAAAGAAAAAAAAAATCTATACGAAACTTCATCTAATAGCATTAGTTGTCCAATCTGTCAGTCTTTAATGAAAGAATGCTGATATGGTCGCGTTTGCTTTTTAGTTTAATATTAATGACATTGAAATAAGGTATTAATTATATTCATACAATATAAGACTGAACTAAGACTGATTTAACACAATTACAGGTTTTGTTCCTTCTTTATTTTTACACAGCGAATAAGAGATTCTCATCTGTATATTTATTTTATTTTTGGACTTATATTGTCAAAAATTTGAACATGCATGAAAGTCTAACTTTCAGATTTTCGGGAAAAAACTGTTTTAATTTCTTACAAAGTGAGGAACGAAGGAAAAAATGAAAAATGTTAACGGGACTCAAATTTTCACATTTTCTTGCAGCAACATTATTTTTAATCCATTTACTACGCCAATTCTGGAATTCAAAATTATTACTATTTAATGATAATTAAATAGGACTGACGATTGATAATTAAATAGAAATAGGAATAGGATAATTAAATAGGAACAGGGATTCTTATTATAATCGTGAATAGCGCGTGTAAACGCTGTTTAGAAATATTAATTATAATCGTTCCTATTTAATTATTATTAAAAGTTTTCAACTCTAATTAAATTCAATTCAATTCTAATTAAATTCAATTCTTTCAATTAAATAATAAGTAATAATTTTGAATTCCAAGATTGGCGTAGTAAATGGATTAAATGGATTAAATTATAATAAATGGGCTTAAATTCGAGAAAGTTGAATTGCGAGGGCAAAAAGGTCGTCTTGATTAACCCTTTGAAATTATTTTAAATATCTATATAAATAATTATATATTTCTTTCAAAATTGGTCTATATATAATAAGACACTTTGAATTCCATGATTTGCATAGCGAATGAGTTATTACAAAAAAAATGCGGGAAGTGAAATCCAATTAACATTTTCTATTTTTTCTTCGTTTCTAATGTTCCTTATTTTAATGATAAGAAATCGAAACAGATTTTTTTAGAAAAATTTTTTATGGATGAATGAACTTGCAATAGTTGATAAATCTTAGATTTAACGAACGCGTATGTTAAGACATGATTGTAATCATCATCTATTTTACAAATATCAGAAAGAATTATTAAAGTTTGGGGAATTTTAAATAACTCTTGTAGATGTTATTCTATCCAATTAAATAAGCCATCTTTTCGATAATTATACGTATAGGATTATGTTTTTTTTTTTTAAATAATTATTATATTAATTCTTATTTAATTAATCCTTACTCATAATTATAAATACATTATTATAAATACATATATCCTTATTTAGATCAGATTTCAAGTCAAACGAAAACTCTTGATATTCACGTGTTTATTTTATCTTTTCTTTCCATGAAACATAGGAAATATCAATGTAAGAGTTGATTAAAAAATATAAAATAATAAATGAAACATAGACAATGAAAAGTTAATAATAAAGACTAGTTTAAAAGGTCAATTTATCAAGAAATGCTTAATACGATATGCAATATCGCATGTTTATATAACCTTATATCTCTATTCTGTTTGACAATTTCAATTAAAAGTCACAGAGGTGAACATATAATAATTATCCCATATACTTTCGAAATATAATTTCATCGTAATAATATTAATAAGTCGGTAAGAATTAATATGATTTTTGGACACTGTAAAAATTAGATCATTCGTTTTTCTTTGTAGTACATAATGCGACACGAATCGATTTGCTGAAATGTAAATTAACGCAAATGGGGATGGAATATAAAGGAACAATAGCTAAAACTGCTGGAAGCATTCGATGTCAATTTTGGCAGGCGGAAGAGCCAATACACGAGGTGGTTTTCATCCTTTCAATCGTACCTTTTAGTTTATTAATTAAAAATTATATCATAAATCATAAGTGCAAATTTATCGTTATCTATAAACGAATCACCAGTAATAAATTTTTTAACATGTTACATTCACAAAATAGCACAAAAAATTAATCATAAGTGCAAATTTATCTTTATCTTATAGGCTTAAATTATTATTTTTTAATTTTTTATTATTTTTATCTATGAACTTAAATTTAACTTGATCTTTGTTCCTTTATTTTTTTAAATACTCAGGTATATACTTTTTTTAAATACAGATCAGAAAGATCATTATTATCCTGCGATTCAGTTTAAGAAAACCATTAGTGCTATTTTGTGAATGTAACATGTTAAAAAATTTGTCACTGGTGATTCGTGAAGACGTTTCATCAATTATACATCGATTACAAATGTATATATCTATTGCAATATAATGAAATTGAATCTTTCTTTCCTTTGTATTTATTGCTCCTCTAACTGCAAAAGTGATTACTGCGAATTTTTGTGCAAATTCATATTTTTGAAATTAGAGAAATGAAATTAGAGAAATGAAACCACGATCGAGGAAATCGCTTCATCTGCGAAATATCATAGAAACTCCTATACTTTTAGTATTTTACATATTTTTTCTATACTATAATTATTATGTGCAATTTGCTACAACGCCATATAAGTGATTTTAAAAGTCATGTAAATTTTGGGCGAATATCCTCCATTTTTTCTTGTCAATTATTTCTCCGATAATCAAACTGTGTCAATTGTGTGTTACGAACACTAAAGTTAATAACATATATTCCATGTGGTATTATTTAAATGTCAGGTTAGTAAAGATATAAGCGACGAAGATTTCCCCGAAAGATCGATGAGACTCGCGAAAAATTACTGCAGAAATCCAACAGGAGATAGCAGAGGTCCATGGTGTTATACTTTGGAACCTTCGCTCATAGACGACGAGTGTGACATACCACTTTGTAATTTTGGAGGTAATAAATACACATATTTTTGATATTGCTGGTAAAAGAACATCAGGAATTCTTAGATAGTCAATAAAATCGTTACGTACAAGTACGACAAGTGAATTATCTTTTTCAATAAAAAGCAAATTATAATATTATATAACAAATTGTGTACGTGAATGAATCCGAAACTTTTCATAAAAAATCATAAAAAAATTTGGAGTTTATAATTTATAAATATAGGGTAGTATATAGATATTTGGAGAATAAATATAATTCAAAAGAGTAAGGGAACTAAGAATACGGCAGAAGAGAATTAATAATAATTAATAATAAATATATGAAAAATAGTTAATAACAAGGGTAGGAGAGAAAATTATTAATAATTAACAATGAATACTAAAATTAATAATCAATAATTTAATACTAATTGAGGATGTGATTTCAATGAAAAATTACACATTTCCCAAGAAGTTTCTTTTACACATGTAAACGAATAGAATGCAAACTATCAGGACCAGGAGCTGAGTATGGGGGGACAAAGAAAATTACTACATCAGGAAGTAAATGTGTATCGTGGCATAAACATCATCTTGAGAGTGTTAAGGTATTAAATAAATTTAATATAATTACAATTTCATTGATGTTTCAACGATGTGAATTTATATTATCCAGGGTATAAAATTCAAGGACCGGGATTTCTCTGATAGATCACGTAGAAAGGCTGAAAATTATTGTAGAAATCCTACTGGAGATGTCGGAGGACCGTGGTGTTACGTCGAAGAGGAAGGTTTCGAATATTTCGAGAAAGAGTATTGCGATGTTCCATTTTGCGACGTTAGAGGTTCCATTCTTTGATTCCATTGACATATCAATTTACGATAATCTTTCTCGTCTTACTGTTCCTCTATTATATATACTTATTAGATTGTTTAATATTTACGAAGAATTCGACTAGTTACGCTATACTCACAAAATTATACGCAGCCAGTGGTAACATTTCATTTTGGGTTAAATTGTGGAATCCAGATGATGAAAAGAAGGTACGTATATTGTCCAAATTACTTAATATTTTTTAGGTACAATTTATAAAAAAGATAGAATATTGATCTCTATGATTTTTCTTTTTGTAGGTACATTAATTTTTGAAAAAAAGAAGAAGATTGCTATTTTCGTGAAAAAATATTGTTTTCTCTATATTCTAAATGAATTGCAATTTGCATAAATGAAAAATATTAGTGAGAAGTTTAAATTTTAGTTAAATTTTGCCTTTGTAGAAAAGATACTCTGTATTCCTTTCTAATCCTCATTCATACGTAATATAGGGACAAGTTAGCATATTGCTTAGTCTTTTACCGATTCCTGCTCCTGCTGAAACAATAGCGGAAAAATGGACTGCTGGTGTTGAATTGTCATTTGCGAATTCTGGCAGCCGTCAAACATTCCCAGCAAATGTTAGTACTCTGACTACGTAGCATATAATTCAACAGCATTTTTCGAGCAGTATTAAAAACGATGTAAAGTTAAAATATTGTATCAAGAAAGTATATAAAATATTCAAGACAAAAGTAAATAGTACTGTAGCGTATCATTAGTCTTGCAGCTAAGACTAATGAAATATAGATACTAAGAGTCAGACTCTTAGTATTTCTGAGAGGAAAGCTCAGAGGGAGCTCCCTTTACGTGAGAGTTACGTCAATTGAGTGTTTTCAATTTAAATACATTCTTTTATTATTTATTTATTCAAACGTGTCAATTATTTTCTCCTCACTTGTATTTCTATATTTTACTGTTCCTGATCAAAACATTAATGTTTCAATGATTACTGTCCATTGAGTGTTTTCAATTTAAATACACTTTTTTTTATTATTTATTCATTCAAACGTGTCAATTATTTTCTCCTCACTTATATTCCTACATTTTACTGTTCCTGATCAAAACGTTAGAGCTATTTACAATTTTGGTGAGGGAATGTGCAGTAAATGGAAGTTTGTCCTCAGTTATGTTTGTTGAATTAGGAGGAAGAGAACTTTGAAAATACCCCTGAGATTTTAGTTGGTACGAAGTGGACGGGAATATGGATAACATGGGGTGGTGGTTTTATTTCCGTGGGGATCGAGGGATCGCTGAAGCCTATACTTATCCAGGAATATAAAAAGAAACGTGGGATCACGAGCTTGTATCCAGATACGTTCCTGTATTATGGACTTCGAGGGACAAATGTTTTGTGCAGCACCACCTTTTGTCACGATCGTACGTTTTTAATAAATTAAAATTAGAAAGATATTATGCAGAAGAAATACTTTCAACAACATTACAATGATCGAGTATTCTTGAAAATAATTGTCAACTGGGGGATCAAAAAGTTTTGTTAAGAGTTTACAAAATTTATAAAAATGTAACATACGTTCGACAGTCACGATTAATTCCTGAAAATTACATGACAGTAATACTATCAAACGTTAATATCGGGGAATTATTTCATAGATAAATTAACTGAGGCTTCCAAAGATTTAGAATGTTAGAACATACGACTGCTGCAATCAGACAGAAAGTGCAACATTAAATGCATTTTCAGATTGCGAGACGTATACGACTTTTGGCATTGATTTCTCGCAAGTTTGGGCCATGCAGAAAAGTAACGATACAATCGATGTACGATTTTTCGTTCGTGCAGGTCAAAACATACAAATACGTTTCTATCAAACACCTTCGATGGAGTATCCTTCTGTTATGGTAAGTACTTTAATAGTCAAACTGACTTTTGATTGAACAGTCAATTCACATCCACAACTATGAGTGTGAAAATTGTTATTCATATCATTAACAATTCTTATGTACAATTTGATTCAAACATTAGTTCATTTTATAAGAAATTAAACATCATTTCGAGAGACCCTCCGATCGATTTAATCGACATATTTGCGCAAAATTTTTCACAGTTTTATCGATGCATTTTGCCATTAAATTCGTATAAGAAAGAAAGTTGAAGATCTAATTAGATTCATTCAATTGTAAAAGTTCATAAATTAATCCTCCTGATTGGTTTTCTTTCCAAATGAAAATTTGCTCGATCTATGGCATTCAAATACCAGCGCTGCGTGTTGATTTTAAAAAATAATCGCAAATTACTACGACAAATTCGTACATTTTCGGAATTAGATAATAAAGTGCAAACTCAAGCAAGATTCTCACATAGCTTTCAATATGATTTTCTGTTTATTTAATTGGATATTAACAATTGTTTTAACGAGCGTCTAGGCTTATGCGACGCGTGTCTACGATTTTTCATTAATATCGAACTTTTGCAAGATTAAAGCTCGTTATTTGGAATCGTAGAAGTTTCCTTAGACTCTGCACTTTATATTCAATGCACCAAGATTATTCATTAATCATCTGTTAATCGAAATTAAGCAAAAATTTATCGGTTCTCCGTAGTAACGGATTGTCGTGCAACAATAATGAATATGCAACAATGAATAACTTATAATTTAAGCAACAATTTCGATACAAAACTGTACGTGAATGTCACTAGCAGTCTGGTTTTTCATTTGCGATTCCAAAAC